GTAGAGTATAGTAGAGAGTGGTGGTAGTGGTGTTAGAGTAGAGTAGAGAGTGGTGATAGTGGTGGTAGAGTAGAGTAGAGAGTGGTGGTAGTGGTGGTAGAGTATAGTAGAGAGTGGTGGTAGTAGTGGTAGAGTAGAGTAGAGAGTGGTGGTAGTGGTGGTAGAGTAGAGAGTGGTTGTAGTGGTGGTAGATTAGAGTAGAGAGTGGTGGTAGTGGTGGTAGAGTAGAGTAGAGAGTGGTGGTAGTAGTGGTGGTAGAGTAGAGAGTGGTGGTAGTAAAGTAGAGTAGAGAGTGGTTGTAGTGGTGGTAGAGTAGAGTAGAGAATGGTGATAGTGGTGGTAGAGTAGAGTAGAGAGTGGTGGTAGTGGTGGTAAAGTAGAGTAGAGAGTGGTGGTAGTAGTGGTGGTAGAGTAGAGTAGAGAGTGGTGGTAGTAAAGTAGAGTAGAGAGTGGTTGTAGTGGTGATAGAGTAGAGTAGAGAATGGTGATAGTGGTGGTAGAGTAGAGTAGAGAGTGGTTGTAGTGGTGGTAGAGTAGAGTAGAGAGTGGTGGTAGTGGTGTTAGAATAGAGAGTGGTGGTAGTGGTGGTAGAGTAGAGTAGAGAGTGGTGGTAGTGGTGGTAGAGTAGAGTAGAGAGTGGTGGTAGTGGTGGTAGAGTAGAGTAGAGAGTGGTGGTAGTGGTGGTAGAGTAGAGTAGAGAGTGGTGGTAGAGTAGAGTAGAGTAGAGTAGAGAGTGGTGGTAGTGGTGGTAGAGTAGAGTAGAGAGTGGTGGTAGTGGTGGTAGAGTAGAGAGTGGTTGTAGTGGCGGTAGAGTAGAGTAGAGAGTGGTCATAGTGGTGATAGAGTAGAGAGTAGTTATAGTGGTGGTAGAGTAGAGTAGAGAGTGGTGGTAGTGGTGGTAGAGTAGAGTAGACAGTGGTGGTAGTGGTGGTAGAGTAGAGAGTGGTGGTAGTGGTGGTAGAGTAGAGTAGAGAGTGGTGGTAGTAGTGGTGGTAGAGTAGAGTAGAGAGTGGTGGTAGTAAAGTAGAGTAGAGAGTGGTTGTAGTGGTGGTAGAGTAGAGTAGAGAATGGTGATAGTGGTGGTAGAGTAGAGTAGAAAGTGGTTGTAGTGGTGGTAGAGTAGAGTAGAGAGTGGTGGTAGTGGTGGTAGAGTAGAGTAGAGAGTGGTGGTAGTAGTGGTGGCAGAGTAGAGTAGAGAGTGGTGGTAGTAAAGTAGAGTAGAGGAGTGGTGGTAGTGGTGGTAGAGTAGAGTAGAGAGTTGTGGTAGTCGTGGTAGAGTAGAGTAGAGAATGGTATAGTGGAGGTAGAGTAGAGAGTGGTTGTAGTGGTGGTAGAGTAGAGTAGAGAGTGGTGGTAGTGGTGGTAGAGTAGAGTAGAGAGTGGTGATAGTGGTGGTAGAGTATAGTAGAGAGTGGTGGTAGTAGTGGTGGTAGAGTAGAGTAGAGAGTGGTGGTAGTAAAGTAGAGTAGAGAGTGGTGGTAGTGGTGGTAGAGTAGAGTAGAGAGTTGTGGTAGTCGTGGTAGAGTAGAGTAGAGAATGGTATAGTGGAGGTAGAGTAGAGTAGAGAGTGGTGGTAGTGGTGGTAGAGTAGAGTAGAGAGTGGTGGTAGTGGTGGTAGAGTAGAGTAGAGAGTGGTGGTAGTGGTGGTAGAGTAGAGAGTGGTGATAGTGGTGGTAGAGTATAGTAGAGAGTGGTGGTAGTGGTGTTAGAGTAGAGTAGAGAGTGGTGATAGTGGTGGTAGAGTAGAGTAGAGAGTGGTGGTAGTGGTGGTAGAGTATAGTAGAGAGTGGTGGTAGTAGTGGTAGAGTAGAGTAGAGAGTGGTGGTAGTGGTGGTAGAGTAGAGAGTGGTTGTAGTGGTGGTAGATTAGAGTAGAGAGTGGTGGTAGTGGTGGTAGAGTAGAGTAGAGAGTGGTGGTAGTAGTGGTGGTAGAGTAGAGAGTGGTGGTAGTAAAGTAGAGTAGAGAGTGGTTGTAGTGGTGGTAGAGTAGAGTAGAGAATGGTGATAGTGGTGGTAGAGTAGAGTAGAGAGTGGTTGTAGTGGTGGTAGAGTAGAGTAGAGAGTGGTGGTAGTGGTGGTAGAGTAGAGTAGAGAGTGGTGGTAGTGGTGGTAGAGTAGAGTAGAGAGTGGTGGTAGTCGTGGTAGAGTAGAGTAGAGAGTGGTGGTAGTGGTGGTAGAGTAGAGAGTGTTTGTAGTGGTGGTAGATTAGAGTAGAGAGTGGTGATAGTGGTGGTACAGTAGAGTAGAGAGTGGTGGTAGTGGTGGTAAAGTAGAGTAGAGAGTGGTGGTAGTAGTGGTGGTAGAGTAGAGTAGAGAGTGGTGGTAGTAAAGTAGAGTAGAGAGTGGTTGTAGTGGTGATAGAGTAGAGTAGAGAATGGTGATAGTGGTGGTAGAGTAGAGTAGAGAGTGGTTGTAGTGGTGGTAGAGTAGAGTAGAGAGTGGTGGTAGTGGTGTTAGAATAGAGAGTGGTGGTAGTGGTGGTAGAGTAGAGTAGAGAGTGGTGGTAGTGGTGGTAGAGTAGAGTAGAGAGTGGTGGTAGTGGTGGTAGAGTAGAGTAGAGAGTGGTGGTAGTGGTGGTAGAGTAGAGTAGAGAGTGGTGGTAGAGTAGAGTAGAGAGTGGTGGTAGTGGTGGTAGAGTAGAGTAGAGAGTGGTGGTAGTGGTGGTAGAGTAGAGAGTGGTTGTAGTGGCGGTAGAGTAGAGTAGAGAGTGGTCATAGTGGTGATAGAGTAGAGAGTAGTTATAGTGGTGGTAGAGTAGAGTAGAGAGTGGTGGTAGTGGTGGTAGAGTAGAGTAGACAGTGGTGGTAGTGGTGGTAGAGTAGAGAGTGGTGGTAGTGGTGGTAGAGTAGAGTAGAGAGTGGTGGTAGTAGTGGTGGTAGAGTAGAGTAGAGAGTGGTGGTAGTAAAGTAGAGTAGAGAGTGGTTGTAGTGGTGGTAGAGTAGAGTAGAGAATGGTGATAGTGGTGGTAGAGTAGAGTAGAAAGTGGTTGTAGTGGTGGTAGAGTAGAGTAGAGAGTGGTGGTAGTGGTGGTAGAGTAGAGTAGAGAGTGGTGGTAGTAGTGGTGGTAGAGTAGAGTAGAGAGTGGTGGTAGTAAAGTAGAGTAGAGAGTGGTGGTAGTGGTGGTAGAGTAGAGTAGAGAGTTGTGGTAGTCGTGGTAGAGTACAGTAGAGAATGGTATAGTGGAGGTAGAGTAGAGAGTGGTTGTAGTGGTGGTAGAGTAGAGTAGAGAGTGGTGGTAGTGGTGGTAGAGTAGAGTAGAGAGTGGTGATAGTGGTGGTAGAGTATAGTAGAGAGTGGTGGTAGTAGTGGTGGTAGAGTAGAGTAGAGAGTGGTGGTAGTAAAGTAGAGTAGAGAGTGGTGGTAGTGGTGGTAGAGTAGAGTAGAGAGTTGTGGTAGTCGTGGTAGAGTAGAGTAGAGAATGGTATAGTGGAGGTAGAGTAGAGTAGAGAGTGGTGGTAGTGGTGGTAGAGTAGAGTAGAGAGTGGTGGTAGTGGTGGTAGAGTAGAGTAGAGAGTGGTGGTAGTGGTGGTAGAGTAGAGAGTGGTGATAGTGGTGGTAGAGTATAGTAGAGAGTGGTGGTAGTGGTGTTAGAGTAGAGTAGAGAGTGGTGATAGTGGTGGTAGAGTAGAGTAGAGAGTGGTGGTAGTGGTGGTAGAGTATAGTAGAGAGTGGTGGTAGTAGTGGTAGAGTAGAGTAGAGAGTGGTGGTAGTGGTGGTAGAGTAGAGAGTGGTTGTAGTGGTGGTAGATTAGAGTAGAGAGTGGTGGTAGTGGTGGTAGAGTAGAGTAGAGAGTGGTGGTAGTAGTGGTGGTAGAGTAGAGAGTGGTGGTAGTAAAGTAGAGTAGAGAGTGGTTGTAGTGGTGGTAGAGTAGAGTAGAGAATGGTGATAGTGGTGGTAGAGTAGAGTAGAGAGTGGTTGTAGTGGTGGTAGAGTAGAGTAGAGAGTGGTGGTAGTGGTGGTAGAGTAGAGTAGAGAGTGGTGGTAGTGGTGGTAGAGTAGAGTAGAGAGTGGTGGTAGTCGTGGTAGAGTAGAGTAGAGAGTGGTGGTAGTGGTGGTAGAGTAGAGAGTGTTTGTAGTGGTGGTAGATTAGAGTAGAGAGTGGTGATAGTGGTGGTAGAGTAGAGTAGAGAGTGGTGGTAGTGGTGGTAAAGTAGAGTAGAGAGTGGTGGTAGTAGTGGTGGTAGAGTAGAGTAGAGAGTGGTGGTAGTAAAGTAGAGTAGAGAGTGGTTGTAGTGGTGATAGAGTAGAGTAGAGAATGGTGATAGTGGTGGTAGAGTAGAGTAGAGAGTGGTTGTAGTGGTGGTAGAGTAGAGTAGAGAGTGGTGGTAGTGGTGTTAGAGTAGAGAGTGGTGGTAGTGGTGGTAGAGTAGAGTAGAGAGTGGTGGTAGTGGTGGTAGAGTAGAGTAGAGAGTGGTGGTAGTGGTGGTAGAGTAGAGTAGAGAGTGGTGGTAGTGGTGGTAGAGTAGAGTAGAGAGTGGTGGTAGAGTAGAGTAGAGAGTGGTGGTAGTGGTGGTAGAGTAGAGTAGAGAGTGGTGGTAGTGGTGGTAGAGTAGAGAGTGGTTGTAGTGGCGGTAGAGTAGAGTAGAGAGTGGTCATAGTGGTGATAGAGTAGAGAGTGGTGGTAGTGGTGGTAGTGTAGAGTAGAGTGGTGATAGTGCTGGTAGTGTAGAGTAGAGAGTGGTTATAGTGGTGGTAGAGTAGAGAGTGGTGGTGGTGATGGTAGAGTAGAGAGTGGTTGTAGTGTTGGTAGAGTAGAGAGTGGTGGTAGAGTAGAGAGTGGTTGTAGTGGTGGTAGAGTAGAGAGTGGTGGTAGAGTAGAGAGTGGTGGTAGTGGTGGTAGAGTAGAGAGTGGTGGTAGAGTAGAGTAGGAGGTGGTAGTAGAGTAGAGAGTGGTGGTAGAGTAGAGTAGAGAGTGGTGGTGGTGTTGTGAGTGGTGTTAGTGGTTGCACGGTTGTTGATGTGTTGTGGTTGTTGATGTGGTTGTTGTTGTGGTTGTGTCAGGCCGTGCTGTGGGTCAGTGCGGCACCATCAAACATCTTCTGGACATCCTGAAGCACCAGCCGCTGTGGGAGCGCAGCACCACTGAGCCGGTACGGGGACACGCGGGGAGACGCGGGGAGACGTGGGGAGACACGGGGAGACACGGGGACACGCGGGGAGACACGGGGAGATACGGGGAGACACGGGGAGACACAGAGAGACACAAGGACACACGGGGAGACGCGGGGACACACATGGGGAGAGTAGATGATGGTGAGTAGTAGATGATGGCGAGTAGTAGATGATGGTGAGAAGTAGATGATGGCGAGTAGTAGATGATGGTGAGTAGTAGATGATGGCGAGTAGTAGATGATGGTGAGTAATAGATGATGGCGAGTAGTAGATGATGGTAGGTAGTAGATGATGGTGAGTAGTAGATGATGGCGAGTAGTAGATGATGGCGGGTAGTAGATGATGGTGAGTAGTAGATGATGGTGAGTAGTAGATGATGGTGAGTAGTAGATTATGGCGAGTAGTAAATGATGGCGAGTAGTAGATGATGGCGAGCAGTAGATGATGGTGGGTAGTAGATGATGGTGAGTAGTAGATGATGGTGAGTAGTAGATTGTTGTATATGTCTGTTATGAAATTTTGATGAAAATTTTTTTTTATTCAAAAAATGCGTAAATAGCGGAAATGATGCTAATGTATGTAATAATATGCACAAATTATGATAATCATGGAGATAATCGTATTAATTTATGCGAATCCTTGCGGTTATGTTAATGTGGGTAGTTATGATAATTAGGCTTAGCTTCGTTATCCAGTGTTGTATCAATCGGGATAAAACAATTATCTTTGTTTAAACATTTATTTATTATCTTAGTGTGTCTATGTTATGTTAGGTCTCCAAATTCATATCTCAACGCAGAATACAGTTCTTACGAATAATTTGCATGGACTGGGAAAGAAGCACTCGAACACTTCTATGTTAAGTGGTAGTTTTAATTCTAAACAAAAATATGACTCTCGGTGAGCAGCACTCTTAACCATCAAGGCTTGCGTTGTTTCACTTTGGCAACCACACGTATCATTAATTCCACCGCGTACCGAGCACATCCAGCGACAGGTAGGGTCTCAAAACAGGCAAGCAACGATAGTCATACGAAAGGCAATAAGCAAATTATTATATCCCGAGGGCAAAAGTATACGTCAATAGATTCATCGGCAAGATTATGCAATTAACGAAAATGAATGACTAAAACACTTCTAACAACCGTATTCATGTAACTCGACGAGCAGCAACTACTTTTCTCGATCAGTTGATATTGAACGCACCACCTTGAAATGGCAACCCTTTTCGAAACACCAAGATAACTTTTTGGAATAGTCTTATTCGATGTGCGTGTTGTGTGTGCGTTGTCCCCTTGGCAAATTAATTAATTATTATTTTTTAGAGCCGGGAGTTGTGTCGTGAGCATGCGGGGGGTGGGGAGGGGTATACAACCAGAGGCTTCACACCCTGCTCCCTCTCTCGGGCGTGGCAGTAGCGAGCCCGTCGCCGGCTTTCTCTCTAGATTGAGCGACGTTGGCACGATGTCCTTGAAGAGGCTCGGTCGCTTGACGCTCGGTGGCGCCTGGGTGGTGCTGCACTCTGGCGCTGGCGGCTGAATGCGCTCGTTCGCTTGTGCGCTGCTGGCTGGCACCTTTGTGCTCTATGGCCGTTGCAGCTGTTTTGTCCACAGCTGGATGACGAGTCGGCACGACGCTCGCCGTCGTGGTGCGCAATGATTCCGTCGTCGGATAGCGCGCAGCTCCTCCACTGCTGGATGTCTTGTCTGTTCTCAGCGGGTGCTGGTCGATGTGTGTGTATTAAACACACGGCGCATTCGATGGCGCTCTCCTCTTCCTCACAGGCGGCCGATCAGACTCTTTCCACTGCTCCGTTCTCTCTTCTTGCTTTCGCCTTTGGCGTGCAGCTGACAGCTTCACACGGGCACCCGCTTATGCCCCTCCCGCCCTCACTTCAGGGGTGCGCTGGTTCAGGTTCACTTCATTCTGCGAGAAGCGACACCGGCCATCGGTATCAGTGTTTGCTCCCTCGCGACGGCACCACCAGCCGGAGCACGGCTGAAACCCAGCCTCGACCCAGACTGAACTCAGACTTCTGCGACTCTAACGACCTCTCCTCGTCCTATCTCTCCTCGAGGCACGACCCGCCCCAACTCCCTTGCGAGTCTCCCTTTGCAACGCTGTGTCGCAAGCCGAGTCACAAGACTGAGCACGACTCGAACCAGACTGAACTGCGTGATGTGCGTTTGTGCTTAAAACCCAAAAACGTGAAAACCCCTCCCCTCTGCCCTCTCTGCGCATCTATTGCGAGAGAAAAACAAACAGAAAAAACAGACACCCCAGGAATGCCAGGCCACAGACCCCTTCTCGCGACCGCCCTGACCCCCCACTCCCCCTGCGTGGGTCATCCCGAGGCCAGACGCCGCCATATGTATTTATGGCTGGCATGTGTTTGTCGAACCGTGGGAAGACAAAGGTGGCCAGGGAGGTCCTGACATTTGTTGTTTAATGGCATTCCTCGTTTTCCAGATGCCCGGTGTGGCCTGTGAGGAGTAGCGGGTTGTTTTCATTATTTAATTTAAGAAAAAATATATATATTGGCCTAATTATTCTTAATATTAATTTTTGGAAAAAGGGGCATAAATACAAGATGATGGTGAGTAGTAGATGATTGCGGATAGTAGATGATGGCGGGTAGTAGATGATGGCGAGTAGTAGATGATGGCGAGTAGATGATGATGGCCAGTAGTAGATGATGGCATGTAGTAGATGATGGCGGTAGTAGATGATGGTGAGTAGTAGATGATGACGAGTAGTAGATGATGGTGAGTTGTAGATGATGGTGAGTAGTAGATGATGGTGAGTAGTAGATGATGGAGGCACCGGTTCTCGTCTTTCGCTTCTTGAGTCCTCGGAACTCATCAGAGGACTTTCCCGGCGACCTCCTTTTACCATGATGACCGTAGCATTGCCCTTGTCGGCCGAGAGGATGACTATATCATCTCTCTTTTTTAGGTTCGCGAGTTCAGAGCGTTTGTTTTTGCTAATGTTGCTAGTGGGTTTCTTAGCGTTCTTAAGGATAGTAGCTATTTCAGCTCTTGCTACATCTGCATGGATGTGTCCTATGCCTCTGAGGGCTACATCAACCTGAGAAATCACATCCTCTACTGTTATATGTTTAGGGGTGACAGCGAAATTTAGTCCTTTGGCCAGTACCGTTTTCAGATTGTCAGAAATTGGGATGTTACTCTGATTAATAACGGTCTTGTTGACATCCAGCTTTGTGATGTATGGCTCTGGTTTCTTCTTTGATAGGAGGTTGAATTTAGAGATCAGGTTAGCTTTGCATTTGGCTGACAGCGAGTCAGCAGAAGCAGCAGTCATGTTGTCAACGTGGTTCCAACGTGCTAGACCTCCCAGACTCTATGGTCTTCCCAAGATCCATAAAGGCACCCCACTACGGCCCATCGTGTCCACGATCAACTCTCCTACCTACAAACTAGCCCGTTTTCTATCAGACACTCTGCTTCCCTTCACTGGCAAGACCTCTTCAGCAGTACTTAACTCAACCCAATTGGTGTCTATGGTCAAGGACATGACACTATCTTCTGACGATATCCTCGTCAGTTTTGATGTGGTATCTCTGTTTACCAAAGTCCCAGTACCTGACAACCTAACAATAATTGAGGACTTGGTCCAACATGGATTGAATTCGGATGTACCTGCGCTGGTTAGGCATTGCCTCACCAACACTTATTTTATCTGGAATGGCACCTTCTACAAACAGAATGAGGGTACCCCTATGGGCTCCCCCTTGTCACCAGTGATAGCCAATGTGTTCATGGAAAAGTTTGAATCAGACACCATCCAGACGTCCACCCTGCGTCCTTCCCTGTGGAAGAGGTATGTGGATGACACTTTCGTCATTTGGACAAATGGCCTCCCAGCATTGAACCACTTCCGGGACCACATCAATTCCAGACACCCATCCATCAGATTCACCATGGAAGTGGAGAAAAATGGCAAACTACATTCTTAGATGTTCTGTTTGAGAGGAGACCTGATGTATCCTTGGGAAATTCTGTCTACAGGAAAGCCACCCACACAGATTCCTACTTGAAACCTGATTCCCACCACCACCCGTCTCAAAAGAATTCTGTCATCAAAACACTATACCACAGAGCTCATGGCATTTCTGACCAACATCACCTGGCCAGTGAATTAAGACATTTACATCGGGCCCTCAGGATGAACGGATACTCTGATCGCACCATCCGCCAAGCTGTTTCTCTCACCATACAGAAACAGCCACTTGAAACTCCGATCAAAACTATCACGTTGCCATACATAGCAGGCGTGACCAAAAAGATCTCCAAAATTCTAAACAAACATAAGATCCAAGTCCGATTCAGTACAGTACATAAAATCCGTGATCTAATTCCATCTGTGAAGGATGTCATTCCTGACTTGCAATACCCTGGAGTTTATAAACTGAGTTGCAGCTGTGGTGATTGTTACATTGGGGAAACGAAACGTCATAAATCTGATCGAGCACAAGTCAGATCTGAAACACGGCAAAATTGAGTCTTCCGCCGTTGCCGATCATTGCTACAACGCTGTGGGTTCCCATGAGATTGTCTTTTCCGAGACCAAAGTGCTCTGCAAACCTTCTGGCTACCATCAAAGGTTTGTACACGAAGCCATCCAGATATACAAACACAGATATAACTTCAACCGTGATGATGGGTACAAACGGAGTAATCATTGGAAAGATGTTATTAACCATGCAAAACAGATTTAACTACACATATTTGGACCATCTTATTTGACAGGTACTATTCTACTTTACCGAGTGTTGACATCCCCAGCGTTTAACAGCACTCTCCTCTCCTTTTTTGTATTTGGATTGTCAACCAACATCGGGTAAACATCAACAAGTTGCACCTACTGGTCTCTTTTAGCCCCGCCCACCCCCCCCCCAACACGTTCCACTCATTGGCTTCCACATTCAGATAACCCCCTTCCCTCCCCCCTTAAACTTGTATTTAAGAGCTTGACTCTTGGAATTTTGCCTCACTTGAGACAGTAAATCTAGCTGTGACGGTCCCACCTGATGACGCAGACTTGTGTTGCCTCCGAAACGTCGTGATTTATTCTCTTATTTCTATTCTTATTTCTATTATTTAAATTTTTTTATTTTTACCTACGTGACTTTACCGAAAAACCTAAGAGTATGAATCCTTGCAGTCACGAAAGCTTCAAATCTAGAATAAAATCATGTAAATAAGCATGTAAACACACGAGTGTGTCCCCGTGGCAGCGTGGAGCGCTGGTTGATGACGGGACATGAAGGCGGTGACGTCACCCCGTGTGTCTCTCCCCGTGTGTCTCTCCCCGTGTCTCTCTCCCCGTGTCTCTCTCCCCGTGTCTCTCTCCCCGTGTCTCTCTCCCCGTGTCTCTCTCCCCGTGTCTCTCTCCCCGTGTCTCTCTCCCCGTGTCTCTCTCCCCGTGTGTCTCTCCCCGTGTGTCTCTCCCCGTGTCTCTCTCCCCGTGTCTCTCTCCCCGTGTCTCTCTCCCCATCTCTCCCCGTGTGTCTCTCCTCGTGTGTCTCTCCCCGTGTGTCTCTCCCCGTGTGTCTCTCCCCGTGTCTCTCTCCCCGTGTGTCTCTCCCCGTGTCTCTCTCCCCGTGTGTCTCACCCCGTGTCTCTCTCCCCGTGTCTCTCACCCCGTGTCTCTCTCCCCGTGTGTCTCTCACCCCGTGTCTCTCACCCCGTGTCTCTCACCCCGTGTGTCTCTCACCCCGTGTCTCTCACCCCGTGTGTCTCACCCCGTGTGTCTCACCCCTTGTGTCTCTCCCCGTGTGTCTCACCTCGTGTGTCTCACCCCGTGTCTCTCACCCCGTGTCTCTCACCCCTTATGTCTCTCCCCGTATGTCTCACCCCGTGTCTGTCTACCTGTGTCTCTCACCCCGTGTCTCTCTCCCCGTGTGTCTCACCCCGTGTCTCTCACCCCGTGTGTCTCTCCCCGTGTCTCTCTCCCCGTGTCTCTCTCCCCGTGTGTATCTCCCCGTGTGTCTCTCACCCCGTGTGTCTCACCCCGTGTGTCTCTCACCCCGTGTCTCTCCCCGTATGTCTCACCCCGTGTCTCTCACCCCGTGTGTCTCACCCCGTGTCTCTCTCCCCGTGTCTCTCACCCCGTGTCTCTCACCCCGTGTCTCTCACCCCGTGTCTCTCTCCCCGTGTGTCTCACCCCGTGTCTCTCACCCCGTGCGTCTCTCACCCCGTGTGTCTCACCCCGTGTGTCTCTCTGTGTGTCTCTCCCTATGTGTCTCTCCCCGTGTCTCTGACCCCGTGTGTCTCCAGGCCATACGCACGCTGCTGGTGGGCACCGTCACTCTGCTGGGGAACCTCTCCCATGAGCCAGAGAACCGCGCCTGCTTCCGCCAGAGCAACGCGGTGCCCGTGATGCAGGAGATGCTCAAGAACGACATCCAGGAGGTCAGGTTGTCTGCAATGGACGTCATCGCCCACGTGCTGGAGGAGAGCGACTGCGACCCCCTGGGAGAGACGAGTAAGCACCTCTCACCGCACCCCGCACGGACCGCTCCTCACCTGCGGCACTCGGCACTCGCTCGCCTGCCACTCGCCTCCCTCGTGCAGCTTTAGTCAGACGAGGGCTGTAGACGTCACCGTGTCCGCATTTACAAACCGAGTACGACGTTTCGCCAGTAGTTACAACTAGCTTCATCAGGCGACAGCCAGATTTGTGGAGAAGTCTTCCTGTTTCACCTTGACTTAAAGCTTTCGTGACTGCAGGAATTATTTGGGTATTTCGGTAAAGCCACGTAGGTAGAAATAACAATAAGAGTTGGGCGGGGCAGCTAATGCCAATGAGTGAGCAAGTAGGAGAGAGAGGGTGGGGCAGGGGGAGCTCGGCTCACTCCTTAAATTTCTTTCTCCTACTCTGTTTCGTTCCTTATATAGAGGCGTAAATGTGTTGACCACGCTTCTGCGCTCTTGCACAATGTGGGGAGAGGGGATTACTGAGGCAATGTACATGATGCGTGTGCATTATGCGAGACCTTTGAACTTGTCCTTCCTGTCTATTGTGTTTATTAAAATAGCCCTACCAACGGTAGTCCCTATTGTAGTACGCTGCCCTTTGTAAGCATGCATTAAGTAATGTATTAATAATTCGCTTCCACGCAGCGCTAAGGTGATAGCTATCCGAACGGTTAAAGTTATTTTGATTTCTTAAAATTTCGATAGATTTTCTAATTAGTCAAGACGCTCATTCATCGAGCTAATGGTGACAGTCTGAGAAGTGAAATTCAATGTTAAAGAAGTGCTGCAATTGAACAGTTACAATAATGCACAAATCAACAGGGCATTGAATACCAAAACCAAATCAAATAACAAGAGCATTGACACTGCCCAAGTAATTAAAATGATAAAAATTCCGTACATTGCGGGAGTAACTGACAAACTCGCCAGATGTTTGGAAAAACAAAACATCCGAGTGAGATTTGGCACGGTACATAAAAAATACAGAAATTAATATCTGGTACAAAAGATGTATTACCGAAGCTATCAACAGAATGTGTGTACAGGATTAACTGCACGTGTTGTAAATGTGATGTTGGGCAAACAGGACGAATAAACAGCATGAAACTAAAAGAACATCAGAGAAATATTAAATTATCCCAAATACAACTGTCAGCAGTAGCAGAAAACGCGTGCCAACAAGGACACTCAATTGATTTTGATAATGTTGAAGTTCTGTGCAAAACTAGCTACTACTGGCCAAGAGTGTTAGCAATAAAAGTTATTTTTTTTATAAAATGCTTTAATACATTTATAATGTGTATAATATCATTAAGGCTATTACCGATACCCCCAATGAAGCCCTCACATATATTGTTCATAGGTAAAAAAATAGCGGTAACGCATCTCCATTGGAACCATGTGATAGCGACCTCCCATAGCGCTGTTTCGTATAGTGCTCACTTGACCTAGAATGCATCCTGAGCGCTATAGGAGGCATGGCTGTAGTTTAAACTCAATAGAGCATAGCGAGCACAACAGCTGTACACACATAACACCACGTGTACACACAGAGTCATAGCAATAGCTGTACACACATAGCACCACGCGTACACACAGAGTCATAGCAATAGCTGTACACACATAGCACGACGTGTACACACAGAGTCATAGCAATAGCTGTTAAACCACACGCTTATATCTCGTATCCCACACTCACAATGTCACAATTGTATAATCACACACGTGGGTAAGTTTCAATGGCAAATTTGGACCGCAACCCCCACTCTTGCGATTACGTCACAGGATCTTTAACGCTGAAGTAGGCAGGGCATATTATTCCGGGACACGTGGTGGGCTGTGTGGGTGACACGGGATCCGTGGTGGGCTGTGTGGGTGACACGGGACACGTGGTGGGCTGTGTGGGTGACACGGGACACGAGGTGGACTGAGTGGGTGACACATGGTGGGCTGAGTGGATGACACGGGACACGTGGTGGCTGAGGAGTGATGGTCACTGCGCGTCTCGTTTCAGACTCCACTAACGAGCTGCTCCAGACCATCAGTCGGCCCACCGTGTACGGCCGATACAAGCAGGTGGGTGAGGTGATATACCTGGGCGAGGCGCTGCTGGAGTCTCTGGCCATGCTGTCCATGTGCTGGCCGGTGCGCAGGAAGGTGAGCACTCGCACCGCACCAACGACGAGTCACCGGCAGCGCGACGCCGGCCGCGGGCCTGCGTCGCGCTGCCCGAGTCGGCCCTGGGCACCGTGCCGGGCGTCGCGATCGTCCCTTCCCCGCCGGGACGTCGTCGCGGGTCGGTAGACGGCGCCGCCCGCGTCGTGAATGCGCGGCGCTTCTCTCGTCAGATCTACGAGGCGGGCGCCGTGGCTCCACTGGTGCAGAGCCTGAGGCAGGGCCGCTCCGTAGAGAAGCTCCACGCGGTGACGACGCTCAGCAGACTCAGCCAGGACCCCGGCACCTGCTCCCAGATGAGGCAGGGTGAGGAGGAGGAGCAGGAGGAGGAGGGCGGCTCTCCCTGCACGCTCAGCAGCACGTCACACACACACCACGTGTACACACACACACTACATGTACTATACACACACACTACATGTACTATATACACACACACTACATGTACTATACACACACATATATATACACTACATATATACAGGGTGTTTCAAAAAGATGGACCCAATTTCAAAGCAGTATATTTAACGATGGCAACATGTTACAATTACACAAAAAGTTACAAACGGTTTAATGAGTTTTCAAGTTTTACTAACCATTTTATAAATGCTCTTGTGCCCTCCACCTGCTGTACGGACAACATCGAGACGATAGTTGAATTCGTCCCAAACGCCTCTCAAAGTGTCTTCTTCCACTGAAGTCACCGCTGCCGTGATTCTGTTTTTGAGGTCATCCAGATTAGTTGCTAATGGTGGCACAAAAACACCACGGTCTTTTGTGCCACCATGGTCTGTGACATTGGCGGATCAATGCCAAAACGCCGTTGAAACGCGCGCTGCACCGCAATTACGGATTCAGTCTTGCTGAACTGCAGAACGCACAATGCCCCTTGTGGTGCGGGGTCACCGTCTTGCGATTGACTGAGGCTAGGGGCTGTTTGTGCGCTGGGAGAGACATCTAGCGGTTATCATTTGAAACTCTATGCCCTGCCCTCTCTATGCCCCGCCCTCTCTATTCCCCGCCCTCTCTATTCCCCGCCCTCTCTATGCCCCGCCCTTTCAAGTGGTAAGAGTTTCATTCATGGGCGGTTCGTGGTTGCAGAGATATAGCGATTTCAAATCGGGTCCATATTTTTCAAACACCCTGTACTCTATACTGTATACTGTATCTAACCTATATAATTAATTTTTTGTCTGTCTGTCTGTCCGTCCGTCCGTCTGTCCATCTGCGTACGCTCCCTTCCGGGGGATGTAGCTCTCGGACCATGGGGTTCGCCGAGATTAAATTTTGCAGGTGGGCACGCCCCCGGCCCCGCGGTAAACTTAGGCATTTCCGATTTTTCGTCTCTAAACTTTAAATCGGACCGATTATCGATTTAGTGCGATTTCTCTTTATTTATTTATTTACTATTGCCGACCGGCATGCGGGAAGGCGGTTGCCCCTGGCAACGGGCGGTTGGCCCCTGGCAACGGGCGGCTGGCCCCTGGCAACCGGCAGCAACAGGGTGGACGCCATTTTTAATTCCCGTTAAAAATATGCACACGCATTAACACGTGACGCTAAGGTAAATTCATCAAAGTTTCACGTCCTCTTCACTCCCCCCCCCACCCCAATGTGTGCAATTACTATCATAGGGTCGGTAGATAATAAAATTATAGCGATTAGACAGTATTATTGTAGCGCGGGGGGGGGGGGGTGACGGCCACAGCACCCAGCCTAGGCCGGGTGGGCAATCTAGGCGAGGCCGGAGGCTCTGCATGGTACTAGGCCTCGACACCCCACACGTCTTAGGCGACGACTTTGTGGTATAAACTCGATATACCCAGCGTTGCCCGGGGGGAAAATACATTTAAAATCTTCTGAAAACTTTAAAACATAACATACCAATGAAAATACAACTGTGTAATTAAAAATGTAAAACTGACCGCGCCAAGAATCGATTCTCTGAATCGCGCAAAGGAATCGAAGGTTGTAGATTCATTTAGAATCGCCGTTCCCGTTTAATATAAGTTTGTTATAGAGTCGATATAAACTGCTACGAATGGGAAATATCCGGCATTGACCGGGGCAAAAATATAATTAAAAACTCCTGAAAACTTTAAAACATAACATACCAATAAAAATAAAACTCTGTAATTAAACATGGAAACCTCCTACGCGCCAGGAATCAATTCTTTGAATCGCGCAAAGGAATCATCGAAGGTTGTAGATTCCTTTAGAATCGCCATATTCCTGTTTAATATACATACGTGTTGCCACGTTTGCTTAACATTTCCAACACACACATTCACACATTTAGCTTTTACATTTAACATACAAAACGTCAGCATGTACTGCTGTCATCATAGGCAAAAAATGTATACACCCTCAACACTCTCCCTCGCCACTCTCCCTCACTCATCATCACCACTCTCCCTCACCACTCACTATCACTCACTATCACTCACCACTCACTATCACTGACCACTCACACTCACCCTTACCACTTACCCTCACAACTCACCCTCACCACTATTCCTCACTACTTACCCTCACCACTCTCCCTCACCAATCACCAATCACCCTCAAGCATACTTGGCGACACGTAAGTTTTTAAAACGGGAATAGGGTGAGTGGTGGTGGTGAGGGTGAGTAGTGAGGGTGAGTGGTGAGCGTGAGTGGTGAGTGGTGAGCGTGACTGGTGAGGGTGAGTGGTGAGGGAGAGTGGTGAGGGAGAGTGGTGAGGGAGAGTGGTGAGGGAGAGTGGTGAGGGAGAGTGGTGAGGGTGAATGGTGAGGGTGAGTGGTGAGGGTGAGTAGTGAGTGGGGAGGGTGAGTGGTAAGTGGTGAGGGTGAGTGGGGAGGGTGAGTGGCGGTTGTTAGTAGTGATTAGTGAGGGGTGAGGGTGAGCGTGAGTGGTGAGGGTGTGCTTGGTGAGGATGAGTGGTGAGGGTGAGTAGTGAGGGTGAGTGGTAAGAGTGAGTGGTGAGGGTGAGTGACGGTTGTGAGAGGTGATTAGTGAGTGGTGAGGGTGAGTGGTGAGGGTTAGTGGTGAGCATGAGTGGTGAGGGTGAGTGTTGAGCGTGAGTGGTGAGGGTGAGTGGTGATTGGTGAGGGTGTGATTGGTGAGGATGAGTGGTCAGGGTGAGTGGTGAGGGTGAGCGGTGAGGGTGAGTGTTGAGGGTGAGTGGTGAGTAGTGAGGGTTAGTGGTGAGGGAGAGTGGTCAGGGAGAGTGGTGAGGGAGAGTCGTGAGGGAGAGTGGTGAGGGTGAATGGTGAGGGTGAGTGGTGAGGGTGAATGGTGAGGGTGAGTGGTGAGGGTGAGTAGTGAGTGGTGAGGGTGAGTGGTGAGGGTGAGTGGTGATTGGTGAGGGTGAGTGGGGAGGGTGAGTGGCAGTTGTGAGTGGTGATTAGTGAGGGGTGAGTGGTGAGGGTGAGCGTGAGTGGTGAGGGTGAGGTTGAGTGGTGAGCGGTGAGGGTGAGCAGTGAGGGTGAGTGGTGATTGGTGTGGGTGTGATTGGTGAGGATGAGTGGTGAGGGTGAGTAGTGAGGGTGAGTGGTGAGGGTGAGTGATGAGGGTGAGTGGTAAGAGTGAGTGGTGAGGGTGAGTGACGGTTGTGAGAGGTGATTAGTGAGTGGTGAGGGTGAGTGGTGAGGGTTAGTGGTGAGCATGAGTGGTGAGGGTGAGTGGTGATTGTTGAGGGTGTGATTGGTGAGGATGAGTGGTGAGTAGTGAGGGTGAGTGGTGAGGGTGAGTGGTGAGGGTGAGTGGCAGCTGTGAGTGGTGATTAGTGAGGGGTGAGTGGTGAGGGTGAGCGTGAGTGGTGAGGGTGAGTGGTGAGGGTGAGCAGTGAGGGTGAGCAGTGAGGGTGAGTGGTGATTGGTGAGGGTGTGATTGGTGAGGATGAGTGGTGAGTGGTCAGGGTGAGTGGTGAGGGTGAGTGGTGAGCGGTGAGGGTGAGTGTTGAGGGTGAGTGGTGAGTAGTGAGGGTGAAAGGTGAGCGTGACTGGTGAGTGGTGAGGGAGAGTGGTGAGGGAGAGTGGTGAGGGTGAATGGTGAGGGTGAGTGGTGAGGGTGAGTGGCAAGTGGTGAGGGTGAGTGGTGATTGGTGAGGGTGTGATTGGTGAGGATGAGTGGTGAGTAGTGAGGGTGAGTGGTGAGGGTGAGTGTTGAGGGTGACTGGTGAGTGGTGAGGGTGAGTGGCGGTTATGAGTGGTGATTAGTGAGGGCTGAGTGGTGAGGGTGAGCGTGAGTGGTGAGGGTGAGCAGTGCGGGTGAGTGGTGATTGGTGAGGGTGTGATTGGTGAGGATGAGTGGTGAGTGGTCAGGGTGAGTGGTGAGGGTGAGTGGTGAGCGGTGAGGGTGAGTGGTTGTTGTGAGGGTGAGTGGTGAGGATGAGTCGTGAGGGTGAGTGGCGGTTGTGAGTGGTGATGGGTGAGTGGTGAGCGGTGAGGGGTGAGTGGTGAGCGTGAGTGGTGAGGGTGAGTGGTGAGGGTGAGTGGTGTGGGTTAGTGGAGAGTGGTGAGTGGTGATTGGTCAGTGGTGATTGGTGAGGATGAATGGTGAGTAGTGAGGGTGAGGTTGAGTGGTGAGGGTGAGTGGTGGTTGTGACGGTGAGTGGTGAGGGATATTGGTGAGGGAGAGTGGTGAGGGTTAGTGGTGAGGGTTAGTGGTGAGAGTGAGTGGTGAGGGTGAGTGGTGATTGTTGAGTGGTGAGTGTGAGTGGTGAGGGTGAGTGGTGAGGGAGATTGGTGAGTGGTGAGTTGTGAGGGTGAATGGTGAATAGTGAGTGGGAGTGGTGAGTGGTGAGGATGAGTGGTAAGGGTGAGTTGTGAGTGGTGAATGGTGAGGGTGAATGATGAGTACAGTCAATATGCACTGCTGTTATCATACCAGGTACCACCACCACAATATGTACTCCTCTCATCATAGCAGATACCACCACAGCAGTATGCACTGCTGTAATCATAGCAGGTTCCACCACAATATGCACTGCTGTAATCATAGCAGGTACCACCAGTCAGTATGCACTGCTGTAGTGATAGCAGGTACCACCTCAGTCGGTATACACTGCTGTAGTGATAGTAGATACTGCTATCGAGTTGGTAGATACCGCTATAGTAAATACTAAAACAGTCAGTATATACCACTACAGTCAGTCAATACTGCTACAGTCAGTATATACTACTATACAGTCAGTACATACTACCACGGTGAGTAGCTACTAGATACTATTATAGAGTGAGTAGATACTGCTATAGATTTTGTAGTTACTACTATAGTCAGTGGATACAACTATAGAGTCAGCAGATACTATACAGTTAGTCGTTACGAGTATATAGTCGGTAGATACTACTGTAGGCCCAGTAAATACTACTATGGTCAGTAGTTATTACAGTCACTAAATACTACTACACAGTCAGTAGCTACTACTGGCTCAGTAGATACTACGGTACAGTCAGTAGATACTACTACAGAGTCAATAGATGCCACTTCCTCTGTTGTATGTGTAGTGGTGGTATTGACGTGCGCCGACAGTAATGGATCACGGGGCGCGGGGTTGGGCACGCGATGTGGGCGTGGCATGGACGCGCGCGCCTGTGGTAAGGCGCGCTCACACAAGCTGGGAAAAGAGGATCGTAGCGAGTGCGCAGTGATTGGTCAGATAAGTCGGTGCTCTCAGCGACGTCCGCAGGAGGGGTATAAAGGGGGACGCGCGAGAGCACTCGGGGTCAGTGTTAACCAGTTGAAGACCGAAGACGGGGTGGAGGAGGTAGTGGCCCGAGACCCCTAGTCCCGCCGTCCTTGTGGGGACCGGGGCCCTGGGTGGCTCGGAGCCGAGACTGGGGGACCGTAGTCCGACGCCCGTGTGGGTCGGGACGGTGGTACCCAGAGCCGAGACGGGCACCCCGGCTGGGTGTGTCCCGGAAGGCTACGGGGCGTAAGAGCCCGTGTCAGTACAGCTGAGTGGGTGTTAGTCACCCGAGTAGCTAAGGAGGGTGTTAGTCACCCGTGTAGCTGAGTGGGTGTCCGTCGCCCGTGTAGCTAAGTGGGTGTTGGTCACCCGTGTAACGAAGTAGGGTGTTAGTCACCCGTGTAGCTGAGTGGGTGTCCGTCGCCCGTGTAGCTAAGTGGGTGTTGGTCACCCGTGTAACGAAGTAGGGTGTTAGTCACCCGTGTAGCTGAGTGGGTGTCCGTCGCCGTGTAGCTAAGTGGGTGTTGGTCACCCGTGTAACGAAGTAGGGTGTTAGTCACCCGTGTAGCTGAGTGGGTGTCCGTCGCCCGTGTAGCTAAGTGGGTGTTGGTCACCCGTGTAACAAAGTAGGGTGTTAGTTATCCGTGTAACTACAAGTTGGTGAAATTAAAGAAGTGTGCTACCCTTGAAGTCGTCTCCTGCCGAGTTACTACTTTACATATGTAAGGTGTTGTTAGTATATATACCTACGAGGGGTAAAAATATTTTTTGAGGGGGGGGGGGGAGACCACAATTTTCGGAAACCTTTTGACATCAACTATTTACCCCACACTTTCTACAACTTTTTGGACTTGTGAAAGCCTCTTATATATTTGTTTGTGGAGAAATGTACAAACAGCCCACCGGGCTTTGACAATACCTTAGTATCTGTGTATATATATGTAAGGTTTTTAAGAAATATATTTTTCACCCGGGCAAAGCCGGGTACTTCCGCTAGTAGATATATATACACTACATACGCTACACACTGAGCATTGCTTTACCCAGGATACATGTACACACACTACACAACACACTGCTGTGTGTAGTGAGTGTTGATGTGTATATGCTGTATATACTTGTATGAGTGTTGGTGAGAGTGTGTGGTGAGTGTGTATGGTGAGTGAGTGAGTGTTGAGGATGTATATGGTGAGTGTTGAGTGTGTATGGTGAGTGAGTGGTAAGTGTGTATGGTGAGTGAGTGGTGAGGGTGTGTATGATGTGTAATGGTGAATGTGTATGGTGAGTGAGTGTGTAGTGAGAGGTGTGTATGGTGAGTGAGTGGTGAGTGAGTGTGGTGAGTGAGTGTAGGGAGTGAGTGTGTGTGGTGAGTGGTGTGTGAGTGTGGGTGGTGAGTGTGGGTAGTGAGTGGTGAGTGAGTGGTGAGTGTGTATGGTGAGTGTGTGTATAATGAGTGGTGAGTGAGTGATGAGTGAGTGGTGGGTGAGTGGTGGGTGAGTGAGTGGTGAGTGAGTGGTGAGTGAGTGGTGAGTGTGTGGTGAGTGGTTTGTGAGTGAGTGGTGAGTAAGTGAGTGGTGAGTGAGTGGTGAGTGAGTGGTGAGTGAGTGTGTAGTGAGTGAGTGGTGAGTAAGTGGTGAGTGTGACTGAGTGTTTGTGTGTCACAGAGGGACAGCTCCACTGCCCCATATGGAGCACGAACCAGAACCAGCTGAGGGAGAGAGCGGCCGTCTCCTGGGGCAGCGTGAGGACCTCCACCTCCTCCTCTACACCTCCTCCTCCTCTACACCTCCTCCTCTACACCTCCTCCTCCTCTACACCTCCTCCTCCTCTACACCTCCTCTACACCTCCTCCTCCTCTACACCTCCTCATCCTCCTTTACACCTCATCCTTCTCTACACCTCCTCCTCCTCTACACCTCCTCCTCCTCTACACCTCTACACCTCCTCCTCCTCTACACCTCCTCTACACCACCTCCTCCTCTACACCACCTCCTCCTCTACACCTCCTCCTCCTCTACACCTCCTCCTCTACACCTCCTCCTCTACACCACCTCCTCCTCTACACCTCCTCCTCTACACCTCCTCCTCTACACCTCCTCCTCTACACCTCCTCCTCTACACCTCCTCCTCTACACCTCCTCCTCTACACCTTCTCCTCTACACCCCAGCGGTGTCGCAACCCCCCGTGCCCCCCTCACCCCCCCCCCCCCCTCTGTGCCTCAGGTCGTGCTCCGCGCCGTCAAGGGCTTCATCTCGTGCTGCTCCTCCTCCAGGTCCAAGGAGGTGCAGGCTCGCCTCGCAGGTAACGGCAGCCCCTAGGCAACGGCAGCCCCTAGACAACAGCAGCCCCTAGGCAACAGTAACCTGGCAACAGCAGTCCGTCGGCAACAGCAGCCCCTAGGCAACAGTAGCCCATCAACAGCAGCCCCGAGGCAAAAGCAGCCTGGAGGCAACGGCAGCTCCTAGGCAACAGCAGTTCAGGGGACGTATGAAGAGACATAGGGGCAGCTGGGTGTTTGTGGCGCCGAGTTGCAGGATTCCGCGTCAAGTTGCTCGTCTTGCTCACGCCGAGTCCCCCGTGGTTGCCCACGTCTGTTGCCCACGTCTGTTGCCCACGTCTGTTGCCCCGCGTTCGCCGCTCGCCGTGTCCCCAGGCGTCCCCAAGTGGCAGGAGGGTGACGTGCAGGCCTGGCTGGAGGAGAGCAGCCTGGGCGCCTACTGCCCCAACTTCACGCAGATCGACGGCCGCATCCTCCACTCCCTCCTGGAGATCCGCCAGCAGGTGGCACGGGGACACTGGGGGACACCACGTGGGGGCACCACACAGCACCACGTGGTGTCACCACACAGCACCACGTGGGGGCACCACACAGCACCACGTGTCAGGCTTATGGACACAGACGCCACGACTCAGTGGGGACCCCAACCCTGCGGCTCCTCACCTCCTCACCCAGCTACTCACCTCTTCACCCAGCTCCTCACCCAGCTCCTCCTCGATGTCTTTGTCTCACATCTTCTCTTCCTGTTCTCAGGCCCCGGAGTTCTTCGCCATGGTGGCACGGGAAGTGGGCGGCTTCCACCGCCTGGAGGACTTCCTCAAGTTCCTGGATGCTGTGGAGAAACTGGACTGATGAGGTTCACTGTCCACTCACCATGCACTACCACACACTCACCACACTCATCATGCACTACCACACTCACCATGCACTACCACACATTCACCACGCAGTGAACACCACCACTCTCATACTCACCACACTCACCATGCACTACCACACACTCACCACGCAGTGAACACCACCACTATCACACTCACCACACTCACCATGCACTACCACACACTCACCACACTCACCATGCACTACCACACATTCACCACACTCACCATGCACTACCGCACTTTCACCACGCAGTGAACACCACCGCTCTCATACTCACCACACTCACCATGCACTACCACACACTCACCACACTCACCATGCACTACTATACATTCACCACGCAGTGAACACCACTGCTCTCATATTCACCACACTGTGCACTCACCACCGCCACCCATCACCACTCTCACGCGCTGCCTGTGCTCTGCTCTCACAGGACGTTCCGCTGCACCTTTCTCTGCTGCTGCTGCTGTTGCTGCTGCTGTTGCTGCTGCTGTTGCAGGTGGCAGAGTCGAGGACAGAGCAGCTGATTGGAGCTCAACCACACAAACACAGCACAACCACACACGTGATGACGAACACACACGACAACTCCACACTGATAACTCTACACTGATAACTCTACACTGATAACTCTATGCCACGGCATTTCTACCATAGCATAACTTCATTTTCTGACAGACACTCACGCCACACAGGTGACACAGCTGACGCAGGTGACGCACGTGACACAGGTGACACAGGTGACACAGGTGACACAGGTGACCCACACCCAGCACAGCCTATTGGGCTCGTCTGACGACCGTGGGTACTGGACCCTGAACAAGGCTTGGGCGCACGGCCCCACTCACTCACTTACTCACGCACGGCCATTCACACACTCACTCACACACTCACACACTCACTCACGCACGGCCATTCACATACTCACTCACACACTCACACACTCATTCACTCACACACTCACGCACGGCCATTCACACTGCATGCCCGCAGACGATGACGGTGGCAGACAATAACTATGTAGTGTTAGTAGTAGTAGGAGGAGGCTTTCGTGACCAATATCTAACCTATATAATTCATTTTTTGTCTGTCTGTCTGTCTGTCCGTCCGTCTGTCCGTCTGCGTACGCTCCCTTCCGGGGGATGTAGCTCTCGGACCGTGGGGTTCGCCGAGATTAAATTTTGCAGGTGGGCACGCCCCCGGCCCCGTGGTAAACTTAGGCATTTCCGATTTTTCGTCTCTAAACTTTAAATCGGACCGATTATCGATTTAGTGCGATTTCTCTTTATTTATTTATTTACTATTGCCGACCGGCATGCGGGAAGGCAGTTGCCCCTGGCAACGGGCGGTTGGCCCCTGGCAACGGGCGGCTGGCCCCTGGCAACGGGCAGCAACGGGGTGGACGCCATTTTTAATTCCCGTTAAAAATATGCGCACGCATTAACAAGCGACGCTGAGGTAAATTCATCAAAGTTTCACGTCCTCTTCACTCCCCCCCCCCCACCCCAATGTGTGCGATTACTATCATAGGGTTGGTAGATAAAAAAATTATAGCGATTAGACAGTATTATTGTAGTGCGGGGGGGGGGGGGGGTGACGGCCACAGCACCCAGCCTAGGCCGGGTGGGCAATCTAGGCGAGGCCGGAGGCTCTGCACAGTACTAGGCCTCGACACCCCACACGTCTTAGGCGACGACTTTGTGGTATAAACTCGATATACCCAGCGTTGCCCGGGGGAAAAATACATTTAAAATCTTCTGAAAACTTTAAAACATAACATACCAATGAAAATACAACTGTGTAATTAAAAATGTAAAACCGACCGCGCCAAGAATCGATTCTCTGAATCGCGCAAAGGAATCGAAGGTTGTAGATTCATTTAGAATCGCCGTTCCCATTTAATATAAGTTTGTTATAGAGTCGATATAAACTGCTACGAATGGGAAATATCCGGCGTTGACCGGGGCAAAAATACAATTAAAAACTCCTGAAAACTTTAAAACATAACATACCAATGAAAATAAAACTCTGTAATTAAACATGGAAACCTCCTACGCGCCAGGAATCAATTCTTTGAATCGCGCAAAGGAATCATCGAAGGTTGTAGATTCCTTTAGAATCGCCCTATTCCTGTTTAATATACATACGTGTCGCCACGTTTGCTTAACATTTCCAACACACACATTCACACATTTAGCTTTTACATTTAACATACAAAACGTCAGCATGTACTGCTGTCATCATAGGCAAAAAATGTATACACCCTCAACACTCTCCCTCGCCACTCTCCCTCACTCATCATCACCACTCTCCCTCACCACTCACTATCACTCACTATCACTCACCACTCACTATCACTGACCACTCACACTCACCCTCACCACTTACCCTCACAACTCACCCTCACCACTATTCCTCACTACTTACCCTCACCACTCTCCCTCACCAATCACCAATCACCCTCAAGCATACTTGGCGACACGTAAGTAAGTTTTTAAAACGGGAATAGGGTGAGTGGTGGTGGTGAGGGTGAGTGTTGAGGGTGAGTGGTGAGTGGTTAGGGTGAGTAGTGAGGGTGAGTGGTGAGCGTGAGTGGTGAGTGGTGAGCGTGACTGGTGAGAGTGAGTGGTGAGGGAGAGTGGTGAGGGAGAGTGGTGAGGGAGAGTGGTGAGGGAGAGTGGTGAGGGAGAGTGGTGAGGGTGAATGGTGAGGGTGAGTGGTGAGGGTGAGTAGTGAGTGGGGAGGGTGAGTGGTAAGTGGTGAGGGTGAGTGGTGATTGGTGAGGGTGAGTGGTGAGGGTGAGTGGGGAGGGTGAGTTGCGGTTGTTAGTAGTGATTAGTGAGGGGTGAGGGTGAGCGTGAGTGGTGAGGGTGAGTGGTGAACGGTGAGGGTGAGCAGTGAGGGTGAGTGGTGATTGGTGAGGGTGTGATTGGTGAGGATGAGTGGTGAGGGTGAGTAGTGAGGGTGAGTGGTAAAAGTGAGCGGTGAGGGTGAGTGACGGTTGTGAGAGGTGATTAGTGAGTGGTGAGGGTGAGTGGTGAGGGTTAGTGGTGAGCATGAGTGGTGAGGGTGAGTGTTGAGCGTGAGTGGTGAGGGTGAGTTGTGATTGGTGAGGGTGTGATTGGTGAGGATGAGTGGTGAGTGGTGAGGGTGAGTGGTGAGCGGTGAGGGTGAGTGGTGAGGGTGAGTGGTGATTGGTGAAGGTGAGTGGGGAGGGTGAGTGGCAGTTGTGAGTGGTGATTAGTGAGGGATGAGTGGTGAGGGTGAGCGTGAGTGGTGAGGGTGAGGTTGAGCGTGAGTGGTGAGGGTGAGTGGTGATTGTTGAGGGTGTGATTGGTGAGGATGAGTGGTGAGTAGTGAGGGTGAGTGGTGAGGTTGAGTGGTGAGGGTGAGTGGCGGTTGTGAGTGGTGATTAGTGAGGGGTGAGTGGTGAGGGTGAGCGTGAGTGGTGAGTGGTGAGGGTGAGTGGTGAGGGTGAGCAGTGAGGGTGAGTGGTGATTGGTGAGGGTGTGATTGGTGAGGATGAGTGGTGAGTGGTCAGGGTGAGTGGTGAGGGTGAGTGGTGAGCGGTGAGGGTGAGTGTTGAGGGTGAGTGGTGAGTAGTGAGGGTGAGTGGTGAGCGTGACTGGTGAGTGGTGAGGGAGAGTGGTGAGGGAGAGTGGTCCGGGTGAATGGTGAGGGTGAGTGGTGAGGGTGAGTGGCAAGTGGTGAGGGTGAGTGGTGATTGGTGAGGGTGTGATTGGTGAGGATGAGTGGTGAGTGGTGAGGGTGAGTAGTGAGGGTGAGTGGTGAGCGGTGAGGGTGTGTGGTTGATGTGAGGGTGAGTGGCGAGGGTGAGTGGTGAGGGTGAGTGGTGATTGTTGAGGGTGTGATTGGTGAGGATGAGTGGTGAGTAGTGAGGGTGAGTGGTGAGGGTGAGTGTTGAAGGTGAGTGGTGAGTGGTGAGGGTGAGTGGCAGTTATGAGTGGTGATTAGTGAGGGGTGAGTGGTGAGGGTGAGCGTGAGTGGTGAGGGTGAGCAGTGCGGGTGAGTGGTGATTGGTGAGGGTGTGATTGGTGAGTATGAGTGGTGAGTGGTCAGGGTGAGTGGTGAGCGGTGAGGGTGAGTGGTTGTTGTGAGGGTGAGGATGAGTGGTGAGGGTGAGTGGCAGTTGTGAGTGGTGATGGGTGAGTGGTGAGCGGTGAGGGGTGAGTGGTGAGCGTGAGTGGTGAGTGCTGAGTGGTGAGGGTGAGTGGTTAGAGAGTGGTTAGTTTTGAGGGTGAGTGGTGAGGTTGAGTGGTGAGGGTTAGTGGAGAGTGGTGAGTGGTGATTGGTCAGTGGTGATTGGTGAGGATGAATGGTGAGTAGTGAGGGTGAGGTTGAGTGGTGAGGGTGAGTGGTGGTTGTGACGGTGAGTGGTGAGGGTTAGTGGTGAGGGTGAGTGGTGAGAGTGAATGGTGAGAGTGAGTGGTGAGTGGTGAGTGGTGAGGGAGAGTGGTGAGGGAGAGTGGTGAGGGTTAGTGGTGAGGGTTAGTGGTGAGAGTGAGTGGTGAGGGTGAGTGGTGATTGGTGAGGGTGAGTGGTGAGGGTGAGTGGTGAGGGAGATTGGTGAGTGAGATTGGTGAGTGGTGAGTTGTGAGGGTGAATGGTGAATAGTGAGTGGGAGTGGTGAGTGGTGAGGATGAGTGGTAAATGTGAGTTGTGAGTGGTGAATGGTGAGGGTGAATGATGAGTACAGTCAATATGCACTGCTGTTATCATACCAGGTACCACCACCACAATATGTACTCCTCTCATCATAGCAGATACCACCACAGCAGTATGCACTGCTGTAATCATAGCAGGTTCCACCACAATATGCACTGCTGTAATCATAGCAGGTACCACCAGTCAGTATGCACTGCTGTAGTGATAGCAGGTACCACCTCAGTCGGTATACACTGCTGTAGTGATAGTAGATACTGCTATCGAGTTGGTAGATACCACTATAGTAAAGACTAAAACAGTCAGTATATACCACTACAGTCAGTCAATACTGCTACAGTCAGTATATACTACTATACAGTCAGTACATACTACCACGGTGAGTAGCTACTAGATACTATTATAGAGTGAGTAGATACTGCTATAGATTTTGTAGTTACTACTATAGTCAGTGGATACAACTATAGAGTCAGCAGATACTATACAGTTAGTCGTTACGAGTATATAGTCGGTAGATACTACTGTAGGCCCAGTAAATACTACTATGGTCAGTAGTTATTACAGTCACTAAATACTACTACACAGTCAGTAGCTACTACTGGCTCAGTAGATACTACGGTACAGTCAGTAGATACTACTACAGAGTCAATAGATACCACTTCCTCTGTTGTATGTAAGGTGTTGTTAGTATATATACCTACGAGGGGTAAAGATATTTTTTGAGGGGGGGGGGGAGACCACAATTTTCGGAAACATTTTGACATCAACTATTTACCCCACACTTTCTACAACTTTTTGGACTTGTGAAAGCCTCTTATATATTTGTTTGTGGAGAAATGTACAAACAGCCCACCGGGCTTTGACAATACCTTAGTATCTGT